ATTTATCTGGAATTGCAAGGGACCCCAAATAGCTAAAACAGTCCTGAAAAAGAACGAAGTTGGGGGACTCACACTTCCTGGTTTCAAAACTTACTACAAAGCTACAGTAATCAAAACAGTGTGGTATTGACACAAAGATAGACATTTAGATCAATGGAATAGACTTGAAGGTCCAGAAATAAACCCCATATATCTATGGGTCAGTTGATTTAGACAGGAATACCAAAACCATTCAGCGGGGAAAGAAGAGTATCTTCAGCAAATGGTGTTGGACCAGCTGGATATCCACATGCAAAATAATGAAGTTGGACCCATATCTAACACTAACTATATACAGGACTTAGAATAGATCAAAGAGCTAGAACTGTAAAACTCCTAGAAGAAAACAGGGGTAAACCTTCATGACATTATTAGATTTGACACCAAAAGCACAAGCAACAAAAGAAAAAAATAAACTGGACCTTATAAAAATTAAAAACTTGTGCATCAAGAAAGTGAAAGGATAACCCACAGAATGGGAGAAAATATTTGCAAATCATATATCTGATAAGGGTCTAATATCCAGAATATATAAAGAACTCCTACAACTAAACAACAAAAAGACAAACAGCCTAATTAAAAAATGGACCAAGGACTTGAATAGACATTTCTCCAAAGATGTGCAAATGGCCAATAAATACAGGAAAAGATGCTAAATAGTATTAATCATTAGAGAATTGCAAATCAAATCCAGTGACATACCACTTCACCCCCACTTTAAAAAAAAAAACCAAACCCATTGCCAGCGAGTCTATTCCAACTCTTAGTGACCCTATACAACAGAGTAGAACAACCCCATAGGATTTCCAAGGAGTGGCTGGTGGATTCAAACTGCCAACCTTTTGGTTAGCAGCCGTAGCTGTCAACCACTATGCCACCACTAGGATGGCTAATACTAAAAAAAAAAAAAAAATTAACAAGGGTTAGTGAGGATGTAGAGAAATTGGAACCCATGCCCACTGCCAGTGAGAATGTAAAATGGTGTGGCTGCTGTGGAAAACAGTTTGACAGTTCTTCAAAATGTCAAACGTAGAATTACCATACGACCCAGCAATTCCACTCCTAGGTATATACCCAAAAGAATTGAAAGCAGGGACTCAAACAGATACTTGTACATCAGTGTTCATTGTAGCATTATTTGCAAAAGCCAAAAGGTGGAAACAACCCAAATGTCCATTAGCTGATTAATGGATGCATGAAATATGATATATCCATACAGTGGAGTATTATTCAGTCTTAAAAAGCAATGAAGTACTGATGAGTGCTACAGCGTGATAAACCCTGAAAGCATTATGCTAAATGAAAAAAGCCAGACACAAAAGGCTACATATTGTATGATTCCATAACATTCCACATTACATGAAGTATCCAGAATAGGCAAATACATAGGTGCAGAATACAGATTAGTAGTTGCCAGGGACTAAGAGAAGGGGGAAGGGGAGCGACTGTTTCATGGGTGTAGCATTTCCTTTTGTGGTAATGAAAATGTTCTGGAACTGATAATGGTGACGGTTGCACATGATTGTGAATGTCCTGGAAGCTACTGAATTGTGCATTTTAAAATGGTTGAAATGGTGAATTTTACCTCAATTAAAAAAAATCAATTGGTAGATGTCTACTGTCTTCTCAGTAATTTGGTTTATATACTTAAAAATAGGCAGAAGTAAGTATAGGTTTAACTTCACCCAAGGAATTAATAACAGTGTTACAGAAACAGGTACCTTTTTTACTGCAAGTTATGCTTTTGAAGGAATTATACACGGAGTTTTTTTTTAGCACTTACTCTGTCGAACCAAAGAATTTCAAGTCCCATTCAAATAATATATAATGTTGAACATTATGTTCCTTTTAAATGACCAACATTTCTGTGGCTTTCAAACTAACCTTCAAAGATGTGGTGATATTTCTTTCTTCTTTAAGAGAGCACACTTCTTTTTCTGATTATGAAACTAATAGATGCTTTTTACAGAAAATCTTGAAAAACACACAGAAATCTTTTTTGTTGTTAGTTTCCATCAAGTTGGTTTCAACTCAGGGCAACCTCATGTGTAACAGAACGAAACGTTCCCTGCTCCTACACCATCTTTGTGGTGGTTGGTGTGTTTGAGTCCGTTATGGCAGCAGTTGTGTCAGTCCGTCTCATTGAGAGTTTCCCTCATGTTGCTGAGCCTCTACCAAACATGCTGCCCTTTTCTAACAATTGGTCTTTTCTAATGGCATGTCTAAAGTGGGCGAACCAAAATTTTGCCATCCTTGTTTCTAAGGAGCATTCTGGCTGTATTTCTTCTAAGACTGATTTGTTCATTCTTCTGGCGGTCCATAGTATATTCATTCAGTATTCTTCCCCAACCCCACAATTTGAATGCATCAACTCTTCTTCTGTCTTCCTTTTTCATTGTCCAGCTTTCGCATGCATATGAGGCGATTGAGAAGACTATGATTTGGATCAGACGCACCTTAGTTATCAAAGTGGCATCTTTGCTTTTTAAATTTTTAAAGAGACCTTGGCAGCAGATTTGCCCAGTGCAGTGGGTCATTTGATTTCTTGACTGCCGCTTTGGTGGATGTGATTGTTGATCCAGGTAGAATGTAATCCTTGACAACTTCAATTTCTTTTTCATTTTCATGATACTGTTTATCTGTCCAATTGTGAGGATTTTTGTTTTCTTCATGTTTTCAACAACATAATCGATCACTATACACATGTAAATCACCGAATGGACTACACAGAAATCAGATTGACTCCATATTTGGAAAGAGATGATGGAGATGCTCAATATCATTAGTCAAGACAGAGCCAGGGGCTGACTGCAGAAAAGGCCATCAGTTGCCTCTGTGCAAGTTCAGGCTGAAGCTTAAGAAAATCAGAACAAGTCTACAAGGGCCAAAGTATGACCTTGTATACATCCCACCTGAATTTAGGGACCATCTCAAGAATAGATTTGATGCACTGAACTCTAATAACTGAAAACCAGAATTATAGGCAAATGTCAAGGATATTATATATGAAGGGACAGAAATTTAGAATGCTTAAATTCTGATCTTTCTTCCATCTTTCATGTTGGTTCCACCTTTTTAAATAACCACCCTCTAAAATTAATCTTTTTTGCTTTTATTAAATAGGCAGTTTTCTAATGGTTCTCCATTTCTTTGCTGTGACTATTACAACCCACTAATTTCACCAGCCTATTGAACACTAGTTCCTTTTGGGTTCAGTTTTCTTCTTACTGAAATATATCCTTGAGTATTTCTTTTAGTGAGGATCTATGAATGGTAAATTTAATTTTTGTTCAAAAATACTTTTATTTCACTGTTATTCTTCAATTATAGTTTAGTTAGATTTGGTTGGCTTTTTTTTCTGTAGCTCTTTAAAACATATTCTTGTAGTCTGTTATCTTATTGATGAGAAATCTTAATTGCAGTAACACCTTTTGTCTCTTAAGAAACAGTCACCTTGGAAAGCTGTACTTTTTTCCTTCTAAAGCAGTTTTTAGATTTAGTGTGCTAATATACCAAATGAGTTCGTCTGGTATTTTTCATAGGAAGTAAATAATCAAAAACAAAACCTCCCAAGATTTCTACTTGAATATATAAATATATCTACTAGTTAAGTACTATTTTCTATAATATACTGTACATAGTGTCATCTGTTTTATGTTTTTTTTTCCCCCAGAAACACAGTTTTGTGTTATATTTTAATTTAGATAGTCTTGAAATAGTTCTAGACCAGTGTTGTCCAATAGGACTTTTATGATAATGTAAATGTTTTATATCTGTGCTGTCTGGTAAGGTAGCCACTATCCACATATGGCTTCTAGATTCTGAGTGCCTATCTATTCTCTATTTACCTTTATCTCTTGACAGAGGAAACCCTGGTGGTGTGGTGGTCAAGTGCTAAGTCTGCTAGTTCAAATCTACCAGGCTTACCTTGGAAACCCTATGGGGCAGTTCTGCACTGTCCTGTAGGGTCACTGTGAGTCGTAGTTGACGGCACTGGGTTTGGTTGTTTTTTTCTTAACAGGTGAATAGAAGTTTTGAATTAAAAATTTAATTAGTTTAGACCAAGTAATTTAATTCATTTTTATATCCAGAATTTTTTTCAGAATCTTAAAACTAATTAGGTTTTTGGTTTGTATAGTTAGGATTTGACTATGAAGTAGAATTAGAAATAAGTTGTAGAATTATAATGAGATACCTTTTAGCAAAACAACAGATTGGCTCATAAAATAAAAAAAAAAAAACCACCCATGAGTGTAGGAGACCACATGGTCAAAAATTACTCTAGGAGGTCTCCGGCAAGATGGCGGTCTAGGCAGAAGCACCACGCCGTCCCTCCACAACAAAGATCCGAAAAACTAAGCCAAACAGAGAATCAACAATCCTGAAACCCTAGA